AGAGATCATCCATAAGTGCGACCAATGCCATTTCCGTTCCATAACCAGGCCTGAAACCCGACTGATAAGGGTCCAGATAATCCGTTTCCTCCAGGACCCTCTGGAGCTGCGAAGCCACCACTTTCTCAACCTTATAAAAGATATAATTGAGTAACATCAGCATACTGATGATATGGAACCCTAAACTAGAGGATGACCTCACCCAACAGTTTCATGTAGATGTTGAATAGGAGGGGAGAGAGCCCTGAACCCTGGGGCACTCCACAAAGAAGGGGCCTAAGGAGTGATCTCTCCCTTCCAACCAACAGTGATTGGAACTGGCCTCAAAGGAAGGAAGGAAGAAAACCAATGGAGTACAGAGCCCTCAATTCCCAAGCCCTGGAGCTGATCTAAACCGTGGTGATTTAAAACTATGGTTTGCTTGAAATAACTAACCCTCAAGCTAAGGAAGCGTATTTTTAACATATTTTAATTAATTTTTATTTATCTATTTCAATCAATATTTATTCTATTTTTACTGTAAACCGCCCAGTGTCACCCCACAGTGAGATGGGTGGTGACAAATTTGAAATATAAATAAATATATAAAATAAATAAGTAAAGGTTACCACATTTTTAAAGCTCAGGCACAACAGTAAAATGCAGTTAATCAAAAGTGAAAGTGAATGCTTGCAATCTCCTCCTTGCAGATGTGCAAAAGGAAACAGGGAGCATGTGAAGCCCAGCAGGAAGCTGGCTCACTCATCACAATAAATCATAGCATATTATGACAAACTCAATCTCTGCTGTCACTCTTTGCAGCCTCATGGTTTTGCAGGCAACTCTTAAGGTAATGAATCATAACAGAAATTATCAACAGGAATAGAAAGAAGCTAACCAGTCAGTTTCAGATATATACAATAACAATTAAAATAAAAGGGCTTGCTCTAAGATTGGAACATTTTCTCAATTATCATCCTACCTTTTATGAGGCATCTTGTTTGGAATAAGCAGCTTATCTCCAATCTCCCACTAATGCCTTAAGTGCTACTGGAGGAGACTACACATAAACACTAAGCCAAGGCCAAACAAACTATCTCCTGCTATATTACATCCTATTTTCTCCAATTTAGGTCGCAACTCTTCTTCAAAATCATGCTGCACATTTCTAAGAGACGTTGTCAGAAGCAACAGTGTCCCAGAGCACACTAGGCAGACTGGGCTAATGGGAATTATTATTTTCTTTTACCACAATCCCGAGTCCACTGTTTTACAACCAAATGCAAAATTGTGGTGTTGGTGGATAGAGGGATTCAGTGGAGTCTATTATAAAGTTAGCATAAGCACAAACTTAATGTAAATATATGCATAAACTTTATATACCTACATAAATCCACAACAAAAGTTAGAGATGGCTAGCACAAAACTAGAAAGCTCTGATCATAGGCAATTAATGTTATTTTTTTTAGAGATGGTGAATATAAAGCCTAGAAGACAAGCAAGTACAAGTCAAGCATGGCAGATTTTTTTAAACAAACTGATTTCTCATGTGAAATTACTTAAATCAAGAGCCCATAGCCAGAAACTACCTTGTATCATCATAACCATCTTCTTTGCATATAATTTTAAATTTATATTTTCCTCATCTCTAACCTCTAAGTGAGGATGATACACATTACCAATTATATATCTAGAATCCCATTTCCTATTTCTATATGGGATATAAGCTCACATGTGCAGTTCTGCAGAGACACTCTTATTTTCTTACCAGCTGGGGTAATGACTCCTTGTACTTATTGTTTAACTGGTTCACAAAGCTACTGACTAGCCAGTAGCAATCAATATTATCTTCCACCATTTCTTCCATCGCTTTAGCAATAACAAGGAATATCTTATCTTCAGATTCCTAGAAAGCAAAGGAGACATGGCAGAGAATCACAGAGAGGCAGCACGTGCATCACAGAGTTAAAATCTGCAGCCAAGTTCCCACTAATAGCAATGTGTTTGGTGCAAATGTGCACTGAGGATGCTACACAAAAGTTTCTAAATCAGCAAACCTACAGGACTTCGGGAGAAGAAATAGCGAACTGAAGATGACTCTGTTAAAAGCAGAGCCGACCATGGCATAATGAAGAGCCGGCAAGAAAACCGGTTTTCTGTAATTCCTCTCTAGCCAAGGAGAGGATTTGAGATTGCCCACAAGTGCTTCAGACAGTTGCTCCTCGCAAGGAGGTTGCAAGACAATGGCCTCTGGCAGGTTTAGAGCTCTGGGAGATGAGGGAATAGCTATCTTGCTCAACCCATAGTCAGCACCTGAGGTAATCTCATCTTGGCCGTAAACCTATTAGGTGATCTTAGGTATGCCACCATCTGTCAGTTTTGTTCTTTCCTTTGCTTCATAATATGGGGGCCACAGAACCAATCAACCTTACATAGTTGTTGAAAGGATTATTAAGAGATTACATGTCCATAGTTCATGCAAAACAAGCCTATATCTATTTACCCTGAAATAAGTCTACTTTAATCAACGGAGCTTATTTTCAGATGCCTGCATGTGATTGTAATCTTATCTTTCCATGAGTCCAAAAGATTGGTTATCATATGCCAAAAATGAAACTATGGTTGATATGTTATTACAGGTGGTCCTGGCTTAACCACCACTCATTCAGTAACTGTTTGAACTTATGACAGCACTGAACGAGCGATACCTACAGCTGGTCCTCGAAGTTCTGGCCATCGCAGCATCCCCACATTCACATGAGAGAGATCCAGGCATTCGGCAACTGGCTCATACTTATGATGTTGCAGCATCCCATGGTCACGTGATCGCCATTTGCAGCCTTCACTGCCAGCTTCCAACAAGCAAAGTCAATGGGGAAGGCAGCAGGAGGTCGCAAATGGTGACCATGTGATGTTGCGCTTAACAGCATGGAATTCACTTAATGACGGCACCCAGAAGTACTGGAACTGCCATTGCTAAGCAGTGCCATCATATTACATTATGGTTTACGACCACATTGCTTAGCAACAGAAAAAGTCTCAACTGCCATTGTTAACCAAGGACTACCTGTACTCACCCTATTACATGCACTTTAAGAACACCAGTTTGTGGGTAATATACACTATAGCCAGGCACATTCAAACACAGGGGCCAATCAGCAAAGGGTTAAGCAAGGGTATATTTTGGCCTCATTACTTGTTAATTATATTAATGCAATGGAAGATGCCTTAAGTAAGGAAGTATTTCATTCCCTCAAACTGGCTAATAAACCTGCATCTATACTGCTTTACGCAGATGATGCTGTCATACTACTGCAAATACCTACATGTTTTGGAACAGCCATGGCAGCACTGGTCCATTACTGTAGGGAACACTTATTATACATTACCTATGAGAAAACAAAGGTCATGCATTTTGCAAAGGGCTTCAAAAAGTTGTGCTGGACCCTTAAAGGACCTGTAATTGAACAACTCCCTTGTTTCAAGTACTTGGGTTTTGTGTGTGAACATTATTCAGGGAAGCGACACACTCTTATCTCCCACGTTGCTCTGAACACATAGAGAAGTTCAGCAGCAATCCTCTCTTCCTTTTTCTGGAAGAGCCCAGTATGCACCAGCTGCTTTGAAGCCAAGATGAAGCGCAGTTAAATCCAGGTGTCAACTGTAAAAAATTAAAGAAAGTTCTAACTGGCTTCCCAGGGTTATGTTGGGTAGCACATTGTGTGCCTAATGCTGCTCTATGGTTGGAGGCAGAGTTTATAAAAACTGAAATGAGGGCATGGCAATGTGTATTCAGATGTTGGTTAAAAGCTCACTTTCCACCCCGAGGTCTGGTACAGCTTATTCCGTCAGACAAATATTACTCATCTTGAAAACTCCAAATAAAGGACAAATTTTATAAATAGGGGTTCTCAAATGAGATGGTGATGCACCTGAAGCAAGATTAGGCAATGGTAGCTATTAAATAAAGAATTCTTGACATGGTATTACAAACAGAATATACCAAGGTGTCACTTAGAGCTCAATTGGAGTACAGCTAATTTCATTTTAAACCAGCATTAGACTTGGCCCAACTTACAAACATTTCAGAGGGCCTTTACAATATTGTGATTTAGCATCTTACCATCAGCAGTGTTGAAGGGTAAATACTGCAAAAGTCTTTTACCTTTGTAAAGTTGGGGGCACTGAATCACAGGATCATTTTTTAAAATTTTCAATTTTTACTGAGACACTTGCAATGAGATACTAATAATTATTAGCCCATTTCCAGGTTAGACAGAAGAATTCTATGTACAGCTTGTTTTGGCAGATAAAGATCCCAAGATAACTAGTGCTATCTATTTTATAATTTAGTCTATAAAAATTGTGTACTGATGACAGCAAAGTTCACTAAACATGATTAAAGGGCTTTTTTTTTATCACGCATGTTACATTGTACTTTGTTTTACATACTGTATTTTCTTTTAAGTAGTCTGGGTCTGTGACCTGCAATAAAGGTTGACTAAATAAAATCATGTGTACTATAATAGCCTTTTTTTTTCATTTTTGAAAATGGAGTTCATATTGGATTTTGTTACAAGTTTAACTGAAAAGAACTGAAGAAAACAACACCAATGCAGAGGAAGAAAAAGCCAAAATATATTTTAATTTATATGTAAGTTGATTCTCACCATCTCTAACACCCTTTTTAATGACACTTTACTTTCCAAAAGAATTTTTTCCGCCTATTAAAGTATTATGTTTGAGGACTAGATAAGAAGTATGCTTTTCATCTAGCTCCAGGGAATAAATGTTTTTATGCTTGCTTTTCTTATTACTACTTTACTGCCCTTCATTATCTTGAAAAAGAAAAGATAAAAGGGAACATCCTTAATTGGAACTGCAGAGGCAAATGAAAGCATTCAATTCCTAAAGAGGAATTGTAAATGCTTCACCACAGTCCTCCAAAGTTACAGTTAAGAATACATGAGAAGGATGCACATGTTTGCTTTTTCTGGGCAATTCTAATTTCTGCAACATTTGCCATTAACCACAAGGAGAAAACATTATGCAAAAAACCATGGCTGGCCCTAGAATATATTGCCATTACAGCCAATTTTTCCCAATCATTCTCTTCGCAGTATTCCAAGGAAAAATTAATTTGATATCACAAGGTGAACTGCATTTCCAGATTATCATTATGCATTTCCCTCACAATTTAACTCAATTTCAGACAGAAAAGATCTGGGTTTGTGCGTAAAAATTTTATCAAAAGTAAAATTAACCTTCACTGACCCAAGGAAAAGATGGATTTTGAGGTAGCTTTCCTGATTCCAACTGATATATCCGGAGGAATACTTCAACCTGTGGAGTAGAATCCGTGATAAAGCGAATTACTTGAAGAGCACGGTAGACATCCCCATACTGTTCTTTTCTGCATTTCATCACAAACGCATGAGATTCATGGTGAGGTGGGAGAATTCCTTTAAAGAAAAAGAGAGAACGAGAGATTTAGATTGAAGTGTACTTGCTCTGAGGGTGAAACATTCATCTTCATACCAGTTTTTCTCAGATCAGCTAAAAAAAATCCAGCATTTATGAACAAATGCTATGGTCCTGATATTGCATACTCTAGTTTGCTATGTTCTCTAATATCTCTGCTAACAAGCTGCAAGGACAGTTTTCTTGCTGAAGACACTGTACAGGAGGAATGAGCAGAAAGGCAAGCCTCATTCATGTACTGTTTTTTGGGTTTTTTTACGAACAGGAGTTCCTCCTGTAAATATATGTAAGGATACTTAGGTTTGACTGATTTAGGACTGACTACAGAATACAGCTTTTATACAGAAAATTCAAAAGCACAGTCCAAGTCTCCCTAATTATTAACAAACAAAACTACTGAACATTTTAAGCACATAATTGTTTTTAGGGAACAAAACCATGACACTGCATAGACCAGTCTTCTCCACCCCAGATACAGATGTGGTTGAGAATCTGAAATTTCCAGTTCCAACATATCTGGAAGAAGCCAGGTTTGGGAAGCTGATTAAAAACCACAGTTACCTATTTTGATGCTTCCTGAAAATTTCAGGTAACAGTTTTTCCCAGGCCAACCTCAGAAAAGCTAGAGATATCAGAGCAATGCTAGAATGTCTTCACAAAAAAATTAAGCAGTATTCCTTCCTAAATATTCCAGGTTAAGCAAAGATACTCAGAAACATAATGCAAACCACTGGAAATTTCACTTTACATGCATTACAGTAGCCAATTATATTGCTTAACACCACTTAATATGTCTTAATGGATACACCCGCCAGGCATCTATTCCAAGGTTTTATCAGGAAACACAACTGTAAGCAGATGAGCAAAGCCACCTTGTTATTTATAAGGAAGCATTTAGTCTTCATCAATTTCCATACCTAGAAGCACCTTCCACACCAAGGTCCGATACATAGATGGGAGAGGAAACCTTTGACTAAATGTGCAAAGCTTCTCAATATCTATGAATGAAGATTTAAAAACAGTATTTTAACAATGTTATGAGGCATCTCTAATCAACACTGACAATGGGTTCCTGGTATTAGGACAAAAGGCTCTCCAGAGAACATATTACAGGTAAATTTTCTGCCTTCCTCAAGTCAGGAGGAGTGTTTCAGCCATGGAGGAGAAAATCAGCCAGCAATCCAACTCAGCTCCTGCAGAGAGTTCCACACAGCCTCCCTCCCTCCCATTAAAACTCTAGTTTTGTATTAATAAAATAAGTAGAATCTATATTTTAATTATTTACTAATCCAATTTATATGGCCACCCATCTATCCAAGAAGCTTTGAGCGGCGAGCAAGATTTTAAAAATCCATTAAACCAAAAACAACAAACAAAAACCAAATAAAACTGTATCAAGGCACAATAAAACCACAAAATCACTAATCACATACACCCATGCCACAGCCTCCATGCCAACATCCTGACCCCAACACCTGGAGGACGAGCCAGGTCTTCATGACCTTACAAAAGGCCAACAGAGTAGGGGCTACCTGTATTTCAGGCAGGAGGCTGTTCCATAGGCCAGGCGTCACAACAGAGAAGGCATGCTTCCAGGGACCCACCAGATGACATTGATTTATTGATGGTACCTGGAGCATGCCCACCCTGCCAGATCTGGTGGGGCAAGCAGAAACCACTGGGGATAGTCCCATAAGTAATTTGATCCTATGCCATTTAGGGCTTTAAAGCTGACAACCAGCACCTTGAACTCCCAAAAGTCTACTGGGAGCCAATGCAGCCAGTGTTATATGGCATACCACAACGTGCCCAAAACCACACATACTGCTGCATTCTGGACCAGCTGAGGGTTCCAAATCCTCTTCAAGGGCAGCCCCATGCAGAACATATTTCAATAGCACAATCAAGAGGTGATTAATCCTCATCAAATTCTACCAAACTTGCTTCCAGCAGAAGACTGTTGATTTATAAGGATTTCCTTCTATGCGATACTTGAAAGAGGTTGAATAAGATACTTTCAAAGGTTGGAAATGGTGGAGAGACAAAAAATATTTCTTGTCCCTCATTTCTACCTTGCTGTAATAACTTTTAGGGCTTTAGGAATGTTGGATATTCAGTTGTCAAGAGTAATTCAGAAAAACAGAAGCAGTAATTCTGCCAAAAGTCAAAATATACCCTTAGCTTACCCTCAATATATAATTAATTAAAGCTGGCTTCTCCAATATGGGCATCTTGTAACTCTCAGAACTCTCAATAATAGGCATGCTGGCTAGGAAATTCTAGATAATTAGCTATTCATATTAATGGGGTCCAGGTTAGGAAAGGCTGAATCAAATGCTGACTGATGAAAACTTGCACATTATTTAGGTGTGAAAAAATATGTTTGAACTGGATGTGTTCATACTCTGCAGTATAACTTCCACATGAAAAACACCAAATACTTCAAATCATTGGGTCTCCTAACAGGAATGAACATGTAATGAATACAGGTTGAAATAGCTGCAAGGCTGGTATCCACACTGCATGTTACTCAAAGTGAAATGTGGATAATTCAAAATCAAACAAATAGATTCCCAGTTGCTGGATCATTCATATTTATACCTACTATGACATACGTATGTTCCAAGCACGCATGGGGTCATGGATGTTCCATCACTGGTGATTTCCACAGTTGGACAGCCATTTGTCTGGGATGGTATGAAGATTCCTGCCCTGGACCTCCAAGATCCCTTCCAATCCTATGATTCTATGAAGTTATGTACAGAATACATACAGATTGGGAAGACTCAATCTTTTTTTCCAAAAAGGCATATATGAGATTATAGCCCTGAGTATACATACAATGAACTGAACAAATGCAAACATTATATTGTACTACATGGGCTATCAAACATACCCAACCGATCATCTTTCAGAAGAATTTCTAACGACTTCTTTTCTTCAACACCACGAAATCCTACTTTTTCATAGTACACAGATCGGAAATTTCTCTGAGGATCCTCAGCCATGTCTCATTCTAAAATAAAGACAAATTAACATATGTTAGCAAATAAGCGTCTTACTATCAGTATATCCAATGACAAAATGTTGCGATACAAAATTCTCCTGTTTGGGGTTATATTCAGCCACATCTCTTTCCAAATAATTAATTTCCCTTCCCCTTCTGCCCTGCTTTCCCAAGGCTTTTCTCCATCCAACATGCATTCCTTATTAGATTGTTCAGGATTTTCCTCAATTTAAGTCTCTGTTCCTAGTGTTAGTTTGCAATGCTACAGACCTTAAACTTTACACATCCCAAGTATATTCAGTCCCCTATGTGCATGGTGAATTTTGACTATCCATGAACTAGAACACAGGGGACTGCATTCAGGATTTCTATATAAAAATGAGACCTGCAACAAAAGTTTGGTGCAGTTGTAATCCTAAACAATAATGGGAAACAGGGACAAGCAGCAAAATTAAAACCAGGTTCTTCCATTCTTCCCAGTTTGCTATTTCTTTTTCCTGCAGATTGTTTCTACTTCTGCAAACCTCAGAGTTTTGACAAGTCTTCAGATACGTTTTCAGGGTAGGTGATACTGTTCTGGCTGCATAAACAACAGAATTCATACCTTAATAATGGAAATATAGAAGCATAGACAACCTATCTTGTAGTCATCATTAAAGGGGTATCAATAGCTCTAGACCCTTTAACATTTCAGAAAAAATAATTAAAGATAACTTCCTTTTTACTTCCTTGCAATAACTAAAAATAATGGAATACATGAAGAAAGTGTATTGTACAAATTAAAACCAATCATCTCAGTGGCAGGCAGGTGAACTAAACAGAAAAGATGTTTGAGGTTTATTACTACATGTTGTTAGGTTAATATGTTTTGGTGGGAACACTGAAAGTTGCAGCATATTTTGCTTCAAAAAATTAAACCTTTTTAAATGGAACCTAGAATTAAAAAAGAAAAAGTAATCCTGCACCATCTAGTTTCACTATAAATTATTCCATTGAACAAGGATTCTTGCAGATGAAATTAAATGCTTCCAGAAAGCTAGCCAGTTATGGAAATGAGATTTGTGGTACAGTATTTTAAAAGACCTTCAAATATTTATTATCTGGATTAGCATTCAATTCATAAAGTGGATTACAGTGCATGAAAGACTTCGCCATGATAAATAGGTTGATCTTCTAAAGTGACAAAACCAAATCCCTCTCCACTGTTTCTGAAGTTAGAGTTACATTTGTTTTCATTCCTATGCAACACATTATAAAAATATAATACAGCCATGAGCAATTAATTACACCTATTTTTCCACAGCTCAAAGTAGCATACACATTCTTCATGTTCTGACCCAATTCTCACAATAAACCTGTGAACTAAGTGGGCTGAGTTTTGGGACAAGCCAACAAGCTCTGGGGCTTGGAGAGAGACTTGAATCTAGGTATCCCAATTCCACTTCGACACTCAAACGCCCAGACCACGGTGTATCATCGTGATATCAAAGTACCTACTAACAGGAACTGAAGTCTAACACAGCTGGAAGGCACCAGGCTGCAGAAGACTGGCTTAGAGTAAGTACTTCGAAAGCCACAGAACTAGTCCGCAGGGTATCCACAAGAGCGTCCCGCAGGCGAGAAACTGAGACGGCTAAATGAAGGACATCGGGTGAGGTGGACAATGGGGAGCTCGCAAGAGGGCTGAAAGGAAGGGCACCTCGAAAGAAAAGCTTAAGGGGGACTGAAAAGGACGGCGAGCCCGGGCCCGAAAAAAAAGAAAAGAGCAACGAGATGAGCGACTGGAAAGCAGGCAGGCCAGCAGACTGACTGGGCGAAGAAAGGTTGCCTTGGAAGGCCGTCAAAGCCGCCACGACCGGAGCAAGAAAAGGGGCGGGAGGGACCCCGGCGGAGGCAGCCACAAAACTCCCCGGGCACCTCCTTCCTACCCGGCAGAAACCGAGCCCACCACGGCCTCGCCAAGCCAGCCCGCAGATCCCTCCCACCGGAGACCGCGCAGACTCCGGCCGGCCCAGAGGAGGAAACCGGAAGCCTCTGTAGCTGCCCGGCCGGCGCGAGGCTTCTCCTCCGAGATATCGCGGGTTTTCGCGCGCGCCCGGTTTGTTGCTTTCCGTGGGCGGGGCGCGTGCTGCTGCTGCTACCGGAAGGACGTCCGAATCGCGAGAAAACCCTGGCCAAGGCTGGGGGAGGGAGCCTCTCTGTTGGCATCGTTTGTTTTATATTCAAAATGGGGGTGGGGGAGTTGTCATATAATTGTTTTAATAAGAATGTATTAGAGTAGAGCCGCTAAAACCTGGTAAGAAGACACAGCCTATTTCTCGAATATCAAGGAATGGAGCATAAGCTGCAGGCGTAAAATGCCTACTGCAATAGTGCAATCGCTCTCTTGAAATTACTCTTTAGCTGCAAATCTCTGGTTTAAGTTTTGGATTTTCCGGCCTTTTTCCATCTAACATCTGGAAGTTACTGGATTAGGGGAGGCTGAATTTAGTCCTAAATACGTTTACCGCTCCCAGACTTTTTAACTGGTCTTGGCCGACCAAAAAATATCGTTTTCTGGATCAGATCCAGGCTTGCAGAGCCGGTAGGTCGCTTCTTATGGTGGCTAACCTGAACCCCCAAAGCATCATCTGAGAGCAATAGCTTCCTCTCGGCACTTGTTTTGTGGTTCCTGCAACTTTTCAGTTATACTTTTCATTTCCACGTTTCTAATATCTGTACTTTATTGTTTTCTCTTGAGCCATCTTGAAATGTTCTGTTAATCAAAGCAGGATGAAAATTCGGTAAACTCCTCTGGATTTCTTAGGCAATGTGGGTTTAGTAATGCAGTTTTAGAATAGCAATTATTTTAAATAATGGCCAGAATTAGGATACTAAGGCTGCAACGTCTAACTCACTTGTTAGGTAATAAGCCAAACTGAATGCAGTAGGACATTTGAATTAACGTGTAGGATCATTTGTACAAATGATGTCACAAAGCTTGGGAATGACTACTGTATAAAATAAAGCAGTTCTACATTTACTGTACTGTACTCCGTGCATCTGATGAAATGTCTGTGATCCACAAAAGCTTGATGATCATATTATTTAAGACCTTAAGGAGCCCCAAAATGTTAGTGTTTTCCTTTTGAGAAATGCCATTGCATAACTGGTGCATTTTATAAACCAGTGATTAGCTACTCTTTAGATCCAATTCTACACTGAAGGAAAGCATTTCTGTATATAGACGAGTATACTATTATGCTTTGACAACAGCTAGTGTTTAATGTGGAAGGTATTACTCTGCTGCATATGTGATTTCCTCAGTTTTTGCTACTGCAGTTTACTGCAGAAGCAGGAGATGGCAGCCTTAAACTAGCTTTTCTTAAGAGCACATGTTAGAAGTCCTGTCAATAAGTGGCAGTAGTTGCTCTATTTTACAGTACAGTATATCCTATTTAGGAAAACAAATGTTATTGGTGTCACAAGATCTGTAGGCCAGGATTTAACAAAGCTTGTTGAGACACATCTAAGAGCTTGTGCATATTTACAGGGTTGCAGAACATGGTACGGTGGAAGAGAAAAGGTGTGTCCTCATTTTGTAAGCAGTTTGAGAGGTACAGTAATCATGAAATGTTAAGTCTACCTTTTGGGTACAATTTAAGGCATAAAGGCATAGTGTTTGGACCTATAATGCTGCCCAGTGTAATTTAAATTAACTCCCATTGGGTTCTTGACAGTAAAATACCCAGATTAGGATTTTCTAAGTATCTTATTTCAGACAGAGAATCTGATGGCAAAGATAAGAGTCTTTGGCTACTCAGCAGTACATCTGATCCCATGTTGTCAGTTACTGTTAATATCTTAGTCCATGTCTGTCTTAACACAGAGACACAATGTTCTGCATGTACAGCTGCATACACAGGATTCCTTTGCTGAAAGAAAAACTGTCCCAATGTGTATTTGCTTGTTTGTGTTAGGAACTCAAGGTGAGCTTACCTGAAGATACTATTTTCACAACAGTTACTCTGAGGAGGGTTGAGCTGAGAGACAATGACTGGCCCAAAATCATCCAGTGAGTTTCTGCAGGTGAGGGTCCTAGTCTATTCCATAACTACTACATCATGTTGGCATATTCAGCTGCCCATATAGTTGGTCTTTTTATGAATCTGGGAAAGTGACTTCTTTCCCACAATAGCTTATACTAAAGATAAATTTGTTCAGACACATCAGTCTTTAAATAGGGGCAGAGATCTACCCTGATGAGAATTCAGCTCAACTAGTCTAGAAATGGCCATGGTTCTTTTCCAGCATCAAATCCCAATAGTAGAAATGGGAAAAAATAGTAGATATGCCAGTCCTCTAGACCTCAAGGCATATTTTCCAAACCAAGTGCTACACATGCCTGTTCAGGAACTGGCATAAATCAATTCCCTCCTATTAATTGGAGGGGGGCTGGGAAAGCAAGGCATAGGGAGAGATGAAAAACAAAATAGAAATCTCTCTCTTCCTTCTGGATTCCTATCTTCTGAGTGGAGCATTTCCAATGTGAAGTAAATCATTCTCTTAGTTCCTTTCATTCTTGAACTAGTAGTTTTTTGAGCCTGTAATTTTCAAACAAAGCTGAACAGTGGAAGGTTCAGAACAGAGATAAGTATTTCTTCATATTTTATAAAGTAAATATATGGAACGTGCTAACCCAGGATGTGGTGATGGACAGCAATTTATCTGGCTTTAAAAGGAGGATACATAAATACATGAATCAGCTGGTCAATGGCTACGAGTTCTATCATGTTGCTGCTGCTTCTATTAATTTGTATTAAGAGACAGATGCTCTACGAGCATAGCTTCTCAAGGTAGGAAAAAGGAATTCTTGCCCTTATCACCAAACAGGGAGCATCCACAAGGAGGATCAAAAAAAAAAAGTCAAGATGGTGGCTGTGATTGAAACTCTGCCCCTTGTATATCAGTCTGTGATGCATGTATATAAACAAAAGGGGGGGGTGTGATTGCATAAGCTTAATTGCCATCTTGAATTTTTTAAACATCTCCCTACCCTGATGTTTCTGAGATGTTAATAAAAGTCAAAACTGCTTTCAGGAGGAGAGAAGAAATGGGAACCTTGGCTGCCATTATCTTCCATTAACTGTTCTTGCAGACTTTATGGTAATAATTTTATATTCACTTAATTTAGCAAATATTTCCACTTTGGCCAAATCTTGCCTAATTTTTGTATTAGAAGCAAGTATATATGTGTGTGGTTATATAAAGGGTCAAACAAGCTCAACTTCATCATGTAGAATTCATTCTGAATAACCTTCATTTTTAGCCAAGTTTCTCATGCTAATTAGCTTCTAATTAGGTAATTTGATTCCATGCTGTACAGCCCTTCTGTAAGCTTTTCAAGTGTAGGCTGACACCTCTATCTAGCTACATTTTATTATTGTTCATTAAGACAGTTGACATTAAAAGCCTCCCTCCCCCCGTTTTTTTGCATTTCCTTTATTTACAGTTCATTTTTTTGTATAAGTATAATTACTGAAATATAACTTGAAAAATAGTCTGAATACAACTAGCATGGAAGCTTTAAATAGTGAAGAAAGGGAAAGTGCACTGAAGAAATCTTAAAACAATAGATTTTACATAAGAGAAATAAGTTTGAATAGCCAAAAGGAAAAATAATGGACAATACAGAAAAAGTTGTTTTATGGAATTTTGAAAACAACATGCATTTTCTGATTTCTGGTGCTTTATACTTGTTCAGAATTGTTGAATAAATTTACTCAAAATTGTTGAATAAACACCCACCATCCCCACAGTTGTATTAGCAAAAATCTTGGGCCCAGTTTACACACCACATTAAATCAGTTTGTTCCATTTGGATTTAGTGAATTATGAACCTTTGTGAACCACAGTTTACATTTGACTGTGTTCTGCAAACCCAACCATTGTGACTTAAACCCTGGTTATACATAGCTTGGTGCAATGTGTGATCCCCATTTCTCACTAGGACTAAGGAGACTCAAGCCGTCATTAAATCCAAAAGTCCCTTGGTTTTTGCACCAGTTATTCATGGTGTTGCCTACCTTGCAAGGTTGCTGCAATGATTAAAGAAGAGAGACATAACAGCTGGAAAGTTGAAATATAAATTTAAATCACTCATCAAAACTCCAAATATTTTTTTCAGTAGGTGTTTTTGATTGAAATGTTATTTTCTTCTTAATTATGTAGTGGCCTAAGGCTATGTCGACATTTCAGCTGTTTTCTTTCTTTGTTAAAGCGTTGGCAGAACTGACCCCCAGCATCTTGTTGACTAAGGTGAGATACTTCCCCCTTTTCCTAATTTCTGGGTTACATACAAATCAGCAGGTACAGCTTCCACATCACACAAAATCCATTTCAGGGAAGAAAGCATTTCTTGCCTTGTCTGTGAATCTCAGATGAGCAAAAAAGAAGGTACATCATAAAGCTGTCCACTCTCATTAAATATCAAAAATGTCAAGATGCTTTTGTGGGAGAAAAGCTTAAGAAGCTCTTCTGTGGTTGAAATGCATAGAAGTCTCTGCTACCTACTTAGTAAAAGAAAAGTTTTCTTTGAGTTCAACTCTAGGTGACTTTGTGGCCACATCAATGGAATTTTCTTGGCAGCAGTAAAAAAGTGGTTTACCATTACGTTCCTCTGGATGTATTATGACTTCCCCATCTAGCCTTCAGCCATTGGATTATCTGGAGGCTTCCCACCAAGCACTAACCAGGCATGACTCTGCTTAGCCTCTGAGACTAGCTGATATCTAGGCTCTGTGCATTGTATTAATTCCAAGTGCAGAACTTTTCTATAGAAAAATAAGGTTTGCTGAATTCACCAGTGTTGGGCATACAGAACATGCTATGTCAAAACCAAAGAGAACATATTGTGGCTTAGCATGATTTGGGAATCCTTCCTGAATTTTTCAGACAGTAAAGCTTTTGTGGTTTTAAATTAGCAGCATTTCTCTCAATTTTACCAATCCCATTCCTACAAATTCAGTAGTGAAAAGAAATAAGATTGCATTCTTATTATTGTCAAATGTGCAATTCTTCCCACCATTATACAAAGCAAACTTGGCTGACTGAAACCAAACTATGCCAGTATTTGTACAGAACAACTTGAGATAAGTTTATATCTATTAAGTAATGGACATATGCTTTAAGTTAGGATTTGGCAAATGCAGGATAAGCTAACTCCCCTTCTCCGTGTCATTGCTGCCTGGCTCCCCTCAATTACTAGTCTGGGCAAAAAAACGATGGCAATCCAAGTCAGCCTTTCTTCGCCAAGTCAGTCAGTCAATCACACTTGAGGCAACCATGTTTTCTAAAAGACGGCTTGGGAGAATAAATGGCAAAGGGAAAAGCTTTTGTACTTCATTGGCTGGATACAGATATTATGGAGGCTGAACACAAACCTTGATTAAACTGATAATTGGGGTAGGGGATGTCTATGAAATCCAAATTTACATTATTTGTCAATTTATACCATTTAATGGATATAAATAGCATCATCTACAGTAAAACCTGCGTTAATGGATAACCCTATATTTAACAGACATTAGGAGTGGTATATAAATAAACTAAATACACCAATCTTGTTAACAGTCTGATCTGTTGATAGCAGCTGATACATAAATGCACGTTGTGAAAGCTCTCCCGCCCATGAGCAATCCTATGAACCATTGCTGAAAGTAAAAATCAAATCTAGTCCCATTTGATATAATTTTTAAAAGCTTTTGTATTGTAACAACATTTACTTGCTACATTACTTAATCAATACTATAATTGTATTCTAACAGTCCAGCTGTATTTCCAGCACTTGTTTTTATGACATTTTTCCCTAGGGTGCCATTGAAACTTAATGAGCTCTTACTTCAGATATAAATGCAGGCCTTGAATTAACACAGCCAGAGATCAGATACAAACATCCATTCTGGGGTATTGCAAGAGAAAGGAATCCCAAGCATAAGTTGTCCTTTCTCCACGCAGTGCATTCAGTGTGTTCTTGGGAAATGTTCCTGATGATCAGACAGGCAGCTGGCACAGACACTGCCTGTGCTGCTCTGTCTGTACAGGACGAGCTGGTGCTTGCTTCATTGCAGCATATTTCTGGGCAGCAAGCAGGTAGTGGGCAGAGTAACGAGCAAGTAGCAACAAGGCACAGGAAACCTGGAGCCAAGAACGCTATATTATCTGTCCCCTGCACTTAGGTTTCCAGATATAGTGAAGTATTTAATACTCATCAGATGGTAGCTAATGCTCTTTCTTAAGGCCTGGACTAAAGGATGCTGTATCAACGGAGACTAGGCTAGACCCAAATTCGAATTTGCAAACGAAAGCGCAGTGTGCACGTATTTTTTCAAAGCACCGTGAGACCATCCATCAAGTTATAATTTGGCCATGTTTAATATTGGTAAAAATTATTTTTTACCAACCACCCATTTGCTTTTTATAGCTTTTCTTTTGGAAGGACTCATTAGAATGCCACATAAAAGGGACAGACCATCCCTGGTTTGTACCCTGGCCCCTGAAACTTTCTCCCAAGCACATCCTGGGATAAAGTAACTACCAAGTTTGGCAGCAAAACACGAAGTAGTATCATAATGGCTTGTCCACTTTTGGCAGGAAACAAACAAGAAAGAAAGAATAGCAGAGAGTAATAAGCTTAAAAGAAATACAGGGTATGTGTTGGTGTACAGGGCTTGTACTTTATCATGTTGCACTGGCTTGGCTTCGTGCCAATTATTTTTGGAAAATGGTAACATTGTTGGTTTAAAATTTTAAAATTGTTTACAATTGTTTTTAACTTCATCCTTTATGCCATACCAGACCCTGACAGAATTCTGCAGAGTAAAAGCAGATGAAGAATATTTGAAAGAAACATTCAAAAGTGTTTTATATTTCACAATACAGTAGCTGTTCAAGGAAGGGGGAAGGGGAACCGAACCAATTAAATCCCTTCTCTCCACTGGAGTGTTCCCTGGAGTCTTATCCTCAAAGGAGCAAAACAAAATGAGTAGTAGAAATCTTGGGAGTTTTCATTCAGGTATAGCAAATTAAACATCTGTTACGATGAGGGAGTACTGGAAAAAAAACTAGGTTATGGAAGACGAACACACATGAAAGGAATGGCTTACAGCTGGAATCCAGTCTCTTTTACATCTTTATTCACCATTTCAATTCTTTTTATTCCAATTATCAAGTATGTATGAACAGCAGGAAGCTTTGTTTAAAGCAGCACATATATGCCAAAGACTGATTATATCTAACTACATTCCCCACACAATGAAAGACTAACGCATAAACCTCGTACAGAAGGTTGGATGGATTTTATTGTAGCTGAGAAACATCAAAGGCTGCTTTCTATTAAAAAGCAGCCAGGTTGCCAAAAGTTGGAGATGTTCTCCTCATTTGCTCTTTTCTTTTTATCATAACCCCATTTCCTTTTGCTTTCTAACCTACAGAGGTATAAAATATAGACTCTATTTTTAACCACATTTTTCTTGTTTGATAAATAACTTTTTAAAATATTCGCTACACACAAAATGCCCATGCAACTGACATTTTCTTATATATATATATATATATATATAT